CCCGTTCATATACTTTAGAAACAGCTGGTAGGGAAGATTTTACTCACAATAGTGTACAATTCATAAGAATTCATTGTGAACTATGTCCAAGAAAACTTTCTCTCTTATTGAAATGGTTTCCATCGATTCAACGAATTGAAATTCAATTAAAGGGCTACAATGATGAACTTGGATCAAGGGAAATAATACTTACGGTAGCAAAAATGTTAGACAAAAAAGTGCATCTCGAGGCGATTTTCTTTATGAAAAAGAAACGCAATGAAACAATCGAATGGATGCGAGAAACTATAAATCGAGAGAATGGTTATAGCGAGTGCGATGCGTCTAAAAAGTATTCGATCGAAGAGAAATCGGATTCCATTGTACTAGAATGGTAACAAATTGAAACTACAACGATGTTTGCGTATGATACAGAAAAAGGGTGTGGGTGTGGGTGTGGGTGTGTGTGTGGGTATTTACTTTCATTTAACTCACACCCACACTCATACCACACCCACACCCTCACCCACACACTCACCCCCACACCCCCACTGACACTCACACCCACACCCACACCCACACCCACACCCTGTCTGCAATATATAGATTTAAATTACTATCAACATAGATTCCTTGAGGAGAATTAAGCATATTTGATAGTGATCCAGCAGAACCATTACCGGCTGCGATTGTCGGAATGGTTGTACCATTATTAAGTGAAAGTTTAACAACTTGATGAAGATTTTTAAGTGAACAATAAAGATTATTATTAACATCAATAAATAAACCAAAACAACTTTCATTAACATTCATAACAGTAACACGCTTTGATGTATTAAATATATATATTCCCTAGACTGAAAGGATAGGGTCTAGAAACGGGAATTATCTATTTACATGTATTATTTTTGTCGGTAACATGGCACAAGTGACCATTTTTTAGGCGCAAATGACCATGTTTTTGGTACAAATGACCATTATTTTGGCACATTTGACCATTTTTTTGGCACATTTAACGATTTTTTGGCACATGTGACCATTTTTTAGGCACAAGTGACCGTTTTTTTGGTACAAATGACGATTTTTTGGCACATGTGACCACTTTTTTGGCACATTTAACGATTTTTTAGGCAAAACTGACCATTTTTCTGGTACAAATGACCATTTTTCTGGCACATTTAACCATTTTTTTGGCGCAAATAATCATGTAACTATGGGATATTTTTGATAATATAATTTTATTTGCTATTATCGTTTTATTTGAATAGCATAATATTTAATATAATATTTTATCCAATCGTATGAAAAGAGCGCTAACTTAAATATTTAAAATATTTCTTAATTATATATATATTTATATAATATTTTATATAATCGTATCAAAAGGGCGCGAACTTAAAAATTTAATTTATTCGTTAAAAAGGGCGCGAACTTAAATATATGAAATATTTCTTAATTATATATAGATCATTATTTTATTCAATAAATTAAAATAGTGTGGCAAAGCCAATTTACTTTTAATACGGAGACAGATGAAAATAATATTAATAACAAAAAAACGAAACGTTCGTGTACAGAGTATTCTAAAGCTTTGAAAAAAAATTTCACCTATTTTTCTATAGCATGTTATTTATCATCACCGACAAATATTTTTAATACATGTTTGAAAAAAACAATGATGTATCGAAACGTCCTGTACGACGACTTATTAAAATAAGACCAATAATGAGTAGCTTAAAAACATACGCATTGTAATTTGATCATATTAAAAGTCAAGTAGTTGCATTATTGCAAAACATTTTAATAAATTTGTAAGTTTAATAGTCTTGCTATAGTGTATATAGACAAGAGACTTCAAAATCAATTTTGATATACAATGATAAAGAGATCTCCACCGTAGTTTTTCTTTTGAAATCCTACTTTCTATAAAATTGACTGTAATAAAGTTAGAGTATTTTTAAACTTTATTATTCAATCGTCAAATATGAAACTTTTAGAAAATGCTTGATTTTATATAAGGTAGAAATTCAATTTGATTTTCTGCTGAGAATCAAAACTAATCTTGATTAACTCTCATTCGTATCTAAATACAGGTATATTAGCATGCAGACCGCGACAGTCTAGGGCCGAGTGAATCAACTTTCGATGAACGCTACTTGTATATATCGACTCGCCCATATGAATAACCATTATCAATATAAATATCACCAGTCATAGACATAAAGAGACTATATGGATTACTCAAATTAGTATAACTTTTACTTGTTGGTGTAGTACTCCATTGAGGCCATGATAAAATAGTGTTATTAGCTCGATTAAGTACATATACAGTATTAATTCCATCAATAAAAATACTATAAGGTAATGAACCCTGCTTGTCATTATTCCAAGAGGACACATTTTTATGAACGGTAAATTCTCATTGTTCCATTTGATTTCTCTTTATAAGGCAATACTAAGGATGTAGTTGTGTGATAAATATACTACCCACACCCACACCCTTGCACCAAACATATGTATATAAAAAGAATAATAAGAAAACTGCAAGCTTTTTGTATTATTGTCAACGCATGTGTTTCGATGTTGAAAAACAGAACCATTCACAGGAGCAATCATTTCTTTTTTTTTCTCTTTACAAGAATATTTTTGTTATTGATTCTGCAATAGAAAAGTACCATTAACAACAAAACCAAAACTCAGCGTTGCATCGAGAAACAATTGAATTTAGAAATAAAACTTTTTCTGATAAAAAAATTCTCTTCACTGGTTATTCATGACTATACCACAAGATTGTACTATTATCTACTTGAGTTCAGACACCGATCAAAACACAAATTCGATTACTGAAGTTCAATATATTTTCGGTATAGTCCACGTTTTTACTAGTATTGATGCATGTATAGATCTCTTAAATAATATCAATAATGGAAAAGTCTTTGTCATTGTATCGATCAATGCTACCCAATACTTAATATCCTTGTTGGCAGAATTTCATCAAATTGACTCAATATATATCTTGTGTAATGACACACCGGTGCATGAGATCACGGGAATAAGTAAAGTAAAGGGTTATTTTACTCGTATTGAAGATGTTTGTAACTCGCTCAAGCGCACTTTTGAAGAATATGATCGAAATTTAATACCGATAACGATGATTCCGATGAATGACTCAACTAATAATCTTATCAATAAAGACAATCAACCGTATTCATTTGCTCGTATCCTTGAAAATACCAGTGTCATTTGCTTTGATTCCAATCAATATTCGCCTAATGATACTGCGCAAAAGTGGTTCATTAAAGTGCAACTTATTGCTAATATCGTCAAGACATTCAGTGATATTGATGAGTGTGTGGATTTTTTAACAGACATTGAAAACGACAATGTAGTATTGGTTGTATTTGGAGACAAGAGTGAAAATATTATATCACATGTGAACGAATGTCCTCAACTTAAGGCAATTTATGTCTTGAGCAGAGAAGAGAAAGAGTGGACGAGCAAATATCAAAAGATCAAAGGTGTTTATATTGACATTGAAGAGTGTTTGCCTTCGATTACGAATGACATCCGACAGTGTAATCAAGCGTTGATTCCAATTAGTATTATTCAGAAGAACGATTTCGATGCTGAATCTTTACATGAACTGGAGCCATCATTTATGTATACGCAGTTGATTAAAGAAATCATTCTAGAGATGAAATACAATGATGAATCCAGACAACCTTTCGTTGATTTTTGTCGTGAGTATTATGCGGATAACAATCGAATGTTAGCTGCGACAGATCAATTCGAACGAGAATATGCTCTTCACTCGCCGATATGGTGGTATTCCAAAGAGACATTCTTGTATTCAATCATTAATCGATCGTTAAGAATATTGGACGTTAAAATCATAATGAAAATGGCTTTCTTTATGCACGATCTTCATTGTCAAATTGAACATCTCTATCAAGAGTGGATCGATAAACCTAATCTTCTAACCGTTTACAGAGGACAAATTGTAACTCAATCTGACTTTGAAAAATTAAAGAAAGGCCAAGGAGGTTTACTGTCATTCAATAGCTTTTTATCCACCTCAACTAATCCAGAGGTTTCTCTTATCTTCGCTGATAGTAATGGATCTGATGCCACATCCATAGGCATTTTCTTTGAAATCAAAATCAATTCGAAGTTATCATCAACACCATTCATCTCTCTGGGCAACTTGAGTCATTTTGAAGAAGAGAATGAAATATTATTTTCAATGCATAGCATCTTTGAAATCGGTGAAATACATCAAATCAATGAACGACTCTGGCAAGTAGAATTATTATCCACTATGGACAATGATAAACGAATGACGGAATTAACTGATTACATTCGACAACATACAAAGAAATCTAAAACTCATCCATGGTTTCGATTAGCTGAATTGTTTTTCCAGATGGGACACCATGACGAAGCTGAAGGTATTCTCCAACAATTTGCGGATCTTCTTTCAATCTATGCTCCCAATAGCCCGCTACACCGTTTGGTTCTTCATCGTCTCGGATTGAGTAAACATGTAAAAGGTGACTTCACAAATGCACTCTCACTTTTTGAAAAAGTACTTCAGCACCATGATACTTCTGTTGAAAATAGTGCTTATATGCACATAGAACTTGGTAAAACGCATTTTTCTATGAACAACTATTCAACTGCACTCTTAAATTACAAAAAGTCACTGGAAATATTGGAAACCACTACTAACTGTGATTCCTATTCTTTCGGTATATGCTTAGGTTACATTGGTGAGACATATCTCAGACTTGGTAAACCACGAGATGCTCAGTTTTACGTGAAGAAAGCCATTGAAATCTGTCGAAAAATACTTCCTTCAGTTCATCCATTCTTTGGTAACACGTACAATTGGATGGGTGAAGCGAATCGAATGACTGGAGATTACCCAACTGCTATACACTACTATGAACTAGCACTCAAAATTCAAGAAAAATATTTGCCACCCGACCACTTAGACTTAGCTCATACTTTAGATGACCTGGGTATCGTTCACGAAACGTTGCAAAACCATTCAAGTGCACTGTCATATCATCAAAAGGCTCTTCAGATACGAAGTAAATCTCTAAGTTCGAATCATCCTGATCTCGCTAAAAATTATGTTAACATTGGCAGCATTTATGCATCAACCCGAAACTATATAAAGGCACTATCATTTTATCAAAAGGCCGTTGACATCTACGAAGCGCATAGTGATGAAATTTTTCTCGATTTGGCTACAGCTTACCATAACATCGGTAATGTCTTTCTTGAAATGCGCGACTGCCCAACTTCACTCGGATTTTTTCAACGATGTCTTAAAATCGAGGAGCAAAAACTTTCGCCCGATCATCCAACAGTAGCTAAAACATATTCTAGCATGGCAGTCGTGCACCTAGCATCGGGTGAACATGCAATAGCTGCTTCATTACTCAGGAAAGCTCTGATGATTCTAGAGAAAGATTCCAGTTCCAACGGTCCGGAGTTGGCTAACACTTATCGAACTCTTTCTGGCGTTTACTTTAATATGAATGACTATCCTACTGCGCTCTCAAGAGTATACCAAGCACGTGAAATCTTCGAAAACATTTATCCGCCTACCCATTCAGAGAGGGTTATGCTCGATATGTATATCGCGCTTGTGCATGAGATGTTGAAGAATAATTAAGATGTAATACTAATAGCATCTTGAGGGTGTGGGTGTAGTTGGGTATTATATTTGTCTCTCATTCAAACCACACTCTCAAATGTCAGGCGTTTCATATTAGAACAGCTTTCATTTTTCATCGTTCAATAAAAAAGATTTCTCAAAAATTTATGCACAAGTTATTGAATACGGTCTGGACAAGTGCTAGATAAAAGTTTATAGATTGAGGCGTCTAGTGCCATATGTTTTCCGCTAAAGAAAGTCTTAAAATAGACCGAGAATAACAAGGTTGCAGATTCTATGTTGGTAATTGCAAAGAGTGATCTGATTTGCTCCAAAATCTTCCTGAATCTTTTCTATAGAAGCCCATAGGATGTGGATGTGGGCTTAGAGAAGATAGGTATCCACACCCACACCCTGCAATCAAATTATTAATAAAGGAAAAATTAAACGCACGTCTAATCTTAGTGGAGAAGAATATATTGCATTAGAAGAATTAAAGAATGGCAAACTGTTAATTATCTTACGTGCTGATAAAGGAAATACTGTTGTATGTATGGATAAAATCGATTATATGAACAAAGTTAATCAAATATTAGAAGATCCTAACGAATTTAGTGAGATCTTAGATCATAGATCTACTATAGATGAAAATTAAATTAATGATCGATTATAGTATGTTACAGTAACAAGATGTCACTATTTAACATCATAGACTCGTCATCATTATTCGTTGTCGACACTGAATCAGTCTGTGTATTTAAACAAGAAAACAAATCAGCTCTTATTCAATTGAAAATAATTACACGTGAACTGAATACATATATGATACTTATCGAAATTCATCATTTACCTAAACCACATACTTCAACATTTGCATTAATTAAAACTTTATTTTGAATCATTATTTCAACCAAAAAATAAAATATACATATGGGGAAAACTTGAAGAATTGGAAAATTTCACGCAATTTGGCTTATTTTCATCGGAGCAAATTTATCTATGTACTTACAAAAATCTTCAAAATGATTGTAAGTTATACTGGTACAAACAACATCAACATGCATCTGTGAACAATGCATTGGAATACAAGCTAATAATTCATGGTGCATTCAAGATGCTGTAGGTTATCAATTACACAAATGGTTAGATAAACGACTAACTCGTTCACCTTTTGATATTGGACTTGACCCAAATTTAGTTCAATTAAATTCAAATCAATTGGAATATCGTAAAACAATAACTCG